TTATTATTATTATTATTATTACCAAGATTTAGCCTCGATTATATTTGACATTACTTATTTGTGTTATTTACATTATGGTTTAATAACTAGATCTATGATTTCTCTCAGTGATAATAATAATATTTCTTATATAAATACAACTTTCAATTAAATAAATTACATTATTATTGCTGAATTTGAAACATAATCATAAACTGAAACTGAAATAATAATAATATCACAAATAATAATATCACAAATTGATATCAATTTAATAATAATGCTAATAAATTATTAATATCAAAAATGTTGCAAAAGTTTATTGCGAAAAATATAAATATAATATAACACACATATGTTGTACGCAACAGTTACATTAATTGTTGAATAGGAAATTAGAACATTGATGTAATATTACTGTCAATTAGTATTTAATGGGGAGTAATAATTCCGCATGTACAGGAAAATCAAGCATTTGAAATCATCGATGAATAAAAAAGTGAAACAGGATATTCAATCTCCTGTTGAAGGAGTTTTATAATCTGTACTTTTGCGATTACGAGATACAGATATAATCGTAAATGAGAAAAATAACTGATAGTTTCGAAGCCGGGAGCAATAGGTTCGCGCACTTTCGCCATACTTATTAGATATTAAGAAAATCGGAAACACGAATAAGACAGAGAGAGAGAGAGAGAGAGAGAGAGAGAGAGAGAGAGAGAGAGAGAACAAAATATATTTTGCAGTTAATATATGCGTGTCGAGGTAATTAAAATCACTCGCTTGAATTTCCTGAAGTTATCGCGCGGTTGTTTATGCTAAATAATTTGACGATGTGATAATGAAAAAAAAACAAAAAACTCATCGCAATCGTAACATTTTGAGTCCGTGAGTGAAATTAAAAATCACTACGGTAGATGAAAGACAATTTTACATTTTTAACGAAGATTTTTGATATCCTGACAGGAAAAAAAAATAATTTTGAAGATTGCGTGCGGCGCCAACCCTGAAGAATGCTCTAAGCTTCAACACGATCACCAATATGCCTCCGATAATCCATTGGAAGTCGGTAACAGTATCTGAAAAGTCGGTATATAATCTACTGTAGTATGAAAGGTCTCACAATTGAATCCTCAGCATTACGAGTTTTCAAGAACGCATTTAGACTTTGATCTCAGTTCAGTAAATTTATAAAATTATATTACAAATTTTGATATATGATCTATTTGAATCAGTAAATGTTGTTTTTTATATTTTATGAATTTGTATGCGTATTAGTATTTCTTTTTAGTTTTTATACATTTTTTTAAATTATTTATTAGAGAAGTAATAGATAAATTATATCTTATATGTTTTGCTTATTAATACAATCAAACAATTATAAAAATAATGACAATCTTAACA